TGATCACACAGGCTGGTGTGCTTCTTCCATGTGGGCTTTGTTGTTTCTGAGCTAGATGACTGCTTGTTTACCTTCAAGCCTTTAAGACCCCAGACGCTATATCTTTTGATAGCGGGGCACCATCAGCTTTCATCACCACATTTGCTTAGTATTAAGGTAGCAGATGGACCTTGGGCCTCCCTTCACCCACATTTCTGTTGTTCATCCCCCCTGAGGCAGGGGTGGGGTAGGGGAGAGGGATTATGCATCGATCATTGTGATCGCTTCCCCTCACCTTCCCTCTACCCTCCTGGCATTGCTATTCCCATTCTGTTCCTGAGGGGTTTATCTGACCTGGATTCTGTGTAGCAGGAGCTCTTATCTGTACCTGTGTACATGCTCTGGTCTAGCCAGAAATGAAAAGCAGGACTGGGGTCATGATGGTGTGGGGCGAGGAAGCCTCAAAGAACCAGAGGAATATTGTTTCATTGGTGCTGTACTGCACCCTGGTTGACTCAACCCTTACTTGTGACCCTACTGTGAGGGGATGACCAATTGTCTGCATATGGGTGTTGGGGCTCTACTCCGAGCCCCCTCGTTCTCTACAATGTGTTTTTTGTTTTGTTTTGGGGTGTTTGGTGACTGTTACTTGATCCCATCGACACCTCATGAACTCACTTGTAGGCTTGTTGCTTCTCTGCTAGATAAGGCCAGCCTTTTAGTTAGCAGCTAAGTGCTTAACTGTTTGCATAGCTCAGGGATTCCTATCAGCATAGGAAGGCAGGATTAAAATTGTATTTGATTAATTCTTAAGTAATCAATCCCAATTTGCTTTCTTTCTTACTATTTTTCAGATTTGGAGTCTTTCAACCTTTAATCTTCTCCACACTTTTATCAGCGAACATGCTCGGCAGTCCATTTTTAGGAATATTGGAACCGGCGTGATGCAAATTGAAACAGGACCAGCAAATCACATTTTCTCTTGTGGAGCTGATGGAACAATGAAAATGAGGATACTGCCAGATCAGTTTAGCCCATTAAATGAAGTGTTGAAAAATGATGTGAAATTTATGCTCTGACACTTTGACTATAACATGTATAATTTATTATCTACTTCATGGAAGTGGCCAACAGATATAATGATAGAATGTACAGTGATCACTCTTAATTAGTGCCACATATAAGCTAATGCTCTCTTGTTTTCATATTTATTTTATAAAGCCTTTGCCCATTATACACTGATGCCTTAAAGATTAACAAGGTCATTCAGAATTAGATTATATTGCCTAAAGTAGAATGTATAATTAATACTATAATACATACATATTTATAGTATTTTGTAGTAAGTATGTCATAGTGTTAAAGGAGTTTTGCTTTCTTTTTGTTGTTAATAACTTCTGCAGATAACTGCTTGAATTTCTTTCACACAAAAATACCTTTTATTTAATGGTTTTACACGTGATAGTTAGTCATTGTTAATTCACTACAATCTCACTTCCTTATCATATTTCTACACCTCAGATGTCCCCTTTTTAAATCTATACTAGTGTGACATTTAGGTAAGAATCAAACAGTGAGCATCTTCACAAAAGCTGTCACTGGGACTTTAGTGATAAATGAACCAAATGGCTCATTACATAAAATGTTCATCCGTCTAACTCTAGATCCCAAGTTGTATGTATGCGCATGTGCATCTGTGTATATATGTGTATATATATTTTGCACAACTTATTTGAACTTAGTTTGTGTACATAAAAACTACACATTTTTTCATGTGTTTTTGTGCCATAACAAGTACTGCCACCAGAATAACAAACTTTTAGCAATTTTTTTAACATTTTGCTTTTTAATTTTAATCCTAATTAGCAAATAAATTTGAGAAAGACTTGCAAGAGTATTACTTTAAAGGTTGTTTTAAGTTAAATGAGCCTTAGAAGGCAATAAAGATTCTGTGTTGGCATAGGTAAGACACTTTAGCGTGTGTATGCTTGTGAATTTGTCAAAAGATTTTGAGCATCAAATTAGCATTTTATTTAAATTTTAGTTTTAGGTATTTTGGATCTAAAATTTTGAAACCTTCAAACAATATTTTCAGAAATAAATGTGAAAACAGTCAAACAGAAAGTATTTACAAATGTAAATTACCTGTCAGATCTACCATTAATAAAAAATCAAACATATTATTTTTGCCAAAATATATATTATTTTATTATAAATATGACCGACCAAAATATTAAAAACACAGAATGCATTCAACTTGCATGTGCTAATCCTATGTCTTTCTGTTTTGTGCTGTATGCCTTTTTCTAACGCAGAATTATAGAAAACATGATAAATACTTGATTATAACCAGTGAGAGTTGAGGCACATGGGACTTAAGTGTTTAAGGGACAATTATATATACTATTTAGCTTAAATATATTTTGTTTAATAGGAACTATAAAAGATTTTTATGTAATAACATATGGACAACTGTTATCTTGGAAATTAAAGAGTCAAATAAAGTGAAGTACTGAAGGGCTGGCAAAATGAATTTTGTAATATCCTCAGGATACTTTTATCTTAAAAATATATTAGTAAAGATTTTGTAAATTGTATTTCATAATTTTAAATGTGTTGAACCAACATACAGTGGAAATGCTGTAATTATGTAGAGGTTTGTGTACACATAATAACCTGTACCTATAAATTGTGCAATAACTATGTGACTATTTTTGTCATAGAGAAATCTGTGACAGCATTGCAAACAGTAATATTGTTTAATATAGTTAAGTTTAAGTTATTTTTCAGTGATTTCTTCACAAATCAAGATTTAAAAGTGTTTGGACACTTTCAATGACGTAGACTATTAATGTGCTTCTGAGAAAAAACGATTGTGGATAAGCAAGCATTTTATTTGAGGGTTTATATGAACACCTAAATTATGGAAACCCATATGTATTTACATCCAGAGTCATAAATATTTTAAATAAACAATCATGCAGTGACTTTTTCTTAGCATACTATTGTTTTAAGACATATTTTGCCACTTTAGTTGACTTTTCAAAAAGTATTTTACAACCATATACATAATGTATACCATTTGAAATTAAGAATTTCTCCATTTTGTGCTAATGTAGAGAACACTAGATAACTTTTCCAAATACCCTGTTCATCCTGTTCTAGAATCTTTTTAGCTTTACAGTTAAGCAATTATTTAAATAGATGAGAAAAAATAAGATGTATATATAAATTTAAAGTGCTATATATCTAAATTATATTTCCATATTATTAGAATGAAAATATCAGAAACATTTAAATTGAGTGCACATTTTCTGAGATGTAGTTGGGCTTTATTATTAATCCTTTTATTGGGAAGCATAATTGTACAATTGCTACCATAATCATTTTCAAAACTCTTTCTTCTTGAACTCTTTGCTATCAGCTTCCCTTTATCTCCTTGAGATTTAGTTGTATAATCAAAAAGCTCATAACAATCTCATATTCTGAGTTATAAGAACAGTAGAATAGTCATCTTCATCATCCTTTCTGCATTTATTTTTCTTCCAGTTTCCTTTAAATAAAAAAAAAAATTGCCATGATTTCTCACATTAGTTTCAACAACTGAAAAACAATAATAGTATGCTTCTTAAGAAAGACCTTTGCAACTGCACATCCCCTTAAAGAAGGGTCACGAGGAGGAGACAAACCAGTTGGTGCAATGTAGCAATGATGAAACATACAACTTTCCTCTAGTTCTTTAATTCTTCTTCCCCCAACTCTCATGATCCCAATTCTACCGAACAAATCTGGCTAGACCAGAGGATATACACTGGTACAAATAGGAACTGGAAACAAGGAATCCAGGGTGGATGATCCCTTCAGGACCAGTGCTGAGAGTGGCAATACTGGGAGGGTGGAGGGAAGGTGGGGTGGAAAGGGGGAACCAATCACAAGGATCTACATATAACCCCCTCCCTGGGGGATGGACAACAGAAAAGTGGGTGAAAGGGGAGACATGAGATAGTGACAAAATAATTTATAAATTATCAAGGGTTTGTGAGGTGGGGAATGAGCTGATACCAAGGCTCAAGTAGAAAAATGTTTTGAGAATGATGATGGCAACAAATGTGCGTGACTCGATGTATGTATGGGTTGTGATAAGAGTTGTAAGAGCCCAAGAAAGACTTGACAGTCATAGGATGGAAATGTTCTTTATGGCATGATTAGAAATCCACACTGGCATTTTATTAGTAACAACAAATGTTTAATGTCATGTACTAGAAGGATCTATCAAATTTAAGAGAGCAAACTGAAAAAAATGTGTGTGTCATGAAATACAGATATCGGTGTCTCTACAAAGAAGGCTTTTTCAGTGATAAGGTATTGGAGAAACTAGGAAACAGAATAGGCAATTCACAGACAACTACAAAATACGGTCACCCTAACCAACTGTCAAAGGAATGTTATAAAAGCAACAGCGTTTTGGTGTTTTTATCTGTTAGGCTATTTTTGGTGAAGATAGAAATGGGCACACTCAAACATTACTGGCAGGACTAAGTTGCTCCAAAGTTACTTGGATGTTTATTAAAATTGAATGCACATAGCTTTCCCTGTGCGGCTTCACTTTTGAGAAGGTATCCTATAAAAATAAAACCATCCCAAATAGAAAAAAGTGATGTTTATTGAAAATATTTACACATCAATAATCAAGAATGGAAATTATCTTTGTGTTAATTACTAGAGAACTGTTTTATCACTTGGAAAGGCCAAACTTATGATTATGGTTACCATTACTGATGCTTTTGTTTTCAAAATGGTGTCATCAAGTCAGTTTTGACTCATAGTCACCTGCACACAACAGAGCAAGAGACTGCCCAATCCTGTGACATCCTCCCAATTGTTTTGTTTGAGCCCATTGTTACAGCTACTCTGGGTCCCAAGTATGATGTATTCTTCCAGGGACTAGTCTCACCTGATCACATGCCCCAAAGTATATAGGATGAAGTCCTGTCATCCTTGCTTCTAAGGAGCTCTTGGTTGTACTTCCAAGATTGGTCTTTTGGCAGTCACTGGTACTGTCAACATTCTTCACTAGTACCATACTTCAAATCCATCGATTCTTCTAGAGCCTTCCTTATTCATTTTGACTGTTGGCTTCCCTGAACATTGATTGTGGGTCCAAGAAATATGAAATCATTGATAACATATCTTTTTTCCCCAATGATCATGATATTGTCTATTTATATTAAGTTGTAATCCATACTAGCGACTCAGACCTTGTTCATCAAGTACTTCAAGTCTTCTGTAAACAAAGTTGTCTCATCTGCATATCACATGTTAATAGCCTCTAATTCCGATGCCTCATTCTTCATATAGACAAGCTTCTTATTTGTTCAGTGTACAGATTAAATAAATACGGTGAAGGGATACAATCTTGACGCCTATCTCTTGTGATTTCAGAACATGCAGTTTTCCCTTGTCATATTTTACATGACCACAATGAAGTGCTCTGGAATTGCAATATTAACCATAGTTTGTCATGACCTACACAGTTGAATGCCTTTGCAGAGTCAATAACACTTTTCAACATCTTTCTGGAATTCTCTGCTTTCAACCAAGACCCCTCTGACCTCACCAATGAAAGCCCTCAGTTCAGTTCTGAATTTGGCTTTAGTTTCTGGCAGCTTCCTGTCAGTGTATGGTTGGAGTCATTTTTGAATTATCTTCAAAATTTCATTTGCATATGATGTGAGTGATATTTTAGATAGTTTCCATATCTTCGTTGAGTTGCCTTCCTTTGGAATGGGTACACATGCATCTCTTCCATTCAGTTGGTCAGCTAGCTGTCTCAAATTTCTAGCCATCAGCTAGTGAGTGCTTCCAGTGCAGCATCAGCTTGTTGAAACATTTCAATTAGTATTTCATCGATTTCGGGATCCTTGTTTTTGACTAAGACCTTTCGTGCAGCTTAGATTTCTTCCCTCAATACCATCAATTCTTGATCATATGCTTCTTGATATGCTTGAACATTGGCCAGTTCTTTGCAGTGGAGTGACTTCATAATTTGATGCTTCCTGTCTGATTCATTATTATTCAATATTTCCCTTCTTTCAATTTGAAATATGCTGGGTATACATATTTTTTGTTTTGCAAACTCCAGGTCTTTGCACATTTCATTATACTCTCCCTTCTTGGGCTGCCCTTCAAGATCATGCGTCAATGCCTTCTGACATCCATTTTGTTTTTTTAATGACTTCGTGAATGGTGCTCTTGATGTCATCTCGAAACTTGTCATTAGTGTTCTATTTGTCAACTCTGTTCTTCAGATGGCCTTGAAGTCCAGGTGAGATATGCTGAAGGTAGTGATTTTGTTTTTTCTTTCTTTTTTTTTTTAATTAAATACTTTTATTGGGGGGCTCTTACAGCTCTTATCACAATCCATACATTCATCCATTGTGTCAAGCACATTTGTACATTTGTTGCCATCACCATTTCCAAAGCATTTTCTTTCTACTTGAGCCCTTGATATCAGCTCCTCATTTAACACCCTCCTTCCCCCTCCTTGCCTCCATAATGAACCCTTGATAAATTATAGATTATTATTTTCACATATTACATCGTACTCTGTCTCCCTTCATCTGCTTCTATTGTTCATCCCCCTGGGAGGAAGTTATATGTTGATCCTTGTGATTTATTCCCCCTTCCTCCCCCCATCTTCCCCTTACCCTCCTGGTATCTCTATTTTCATTATTGGTCCTCATGAGGGGTTTATCTGTCCTGGATTTCCTGTGTTTCAGGCTCTTAGCTGTAGCGGTGTGCATGTTCTGCTCTAGTCAGTAAACAAGGTTATGATGGTGGGGAGCGGGGAGGCATTAGAGAACTAGAAGATGTTTAATCGGTCGTATACTGCACCCTGTCTGGCTTGTCTCTTCTTTGTGACCCTTCTATAAGGGGATGTCCAATTATCTACAGATGGGCTTTGGGTATTTGGGTCTTAAATGCCTGATCCCATTGACACATCATGATCACACAGGCTAGTGTGCTTCTTCCATGTGGACTTTGTTGCTTCTCAGTTAGATGGCCACTTGTTATCTTCAAGCCTTCAAGACCCCAGGTGCTATATCTTTTGATAGCTGGGCACCATCAGCTTTCTTCATCCCATTTGCTAATGCATCCGTTTTGGCTTCAGTGATCATGTCGGGAAGGTGAGCATCACAGAATGCCGGATTCTTAATACTTAGTATATAAATATAAGTACATAGATCTATTTCCCTATTGTTATATACAAATACATTTACAGATGTACATGCCTGTATTTAGACCTCTATAAATGTCCTCTGCCTCCTAGTTCTTTTGTTTGTTTGTTTTTGTTTTTTGTTTAATCGTTTTATTAAGCCTCCTAGTTCTTTCCTCTATTTCCTTTTGCTTTCCTCTTATCCCCCTATCATGTTCGGCCTTCATTCAGGTTCAGTAATTCCTCGCTGTTACATTGTTCTTGATTAAGCCCCCCTAGGCCTCCTACGCCCTTCTCTTCCTTGGTTTCAGTTCACTTGTTTCCTTCTCCCTGGGTTGGTTGACACACACACCCTTCCTTTCTCCCACCTCCCCTTCTCCCGTGTTCCCCCGGAACCATCAGTCCCCTTGTTTTCTTCTCTGAATTGTTTATCCCACTTACCTAGATAGACATGCAGAGACACTAATAAATGTAAAACCAGGCAAAGCCTAGCAAAACAACAAAGGAAGACAAAACAACAGCAACAACAAAAAAACAGAAAGCCAATGACAAAAAACCGAAAAGCTTATAGTTTCATGTCCTTTTTTTTTTACCTTTAGGAGTGTTTTCCGTTCGAGTCTGATGGGGTGCCACACTCAGTCGCCAAGGTCTATTTTGGTATTCCCCAGGGACATCATCGCTTTGCTCCCCTAGTAGTATTGTTTTCATTAATTTTTAATTTTCTTCAGCTTAAACCTAACTTGCACATAATAAGTCAGTCCTGGGCCTTGT